TCTATTCTATTCTATTCTATTCTATTCTATTCTATTCTATTCTATTCCAATCTAATATAATCTAATCTATTCTGGAGACAGAGATACAAAAGGCTGAAGTTTTAACATTACACTTTACAACTGTTTTTTTTTTCTTTTGGCTACAGTGAAGAATTAAATTAAGAATAAATACTCTGTCCTTCGACAGTGAACAGAGGACTCAACACCTGCCTTGAGTTCCCCAGCCTTCTTTTCTTCTCGGGATTTGCAGTGGGCGATCTCTTGCAATTTCTTTTCCAAGGGCTCCAAACATTTCTGCATCTTTTCCTGAATTTAAAAATAAAAAATAAAAAGTATCGTATCTGAGTCAGAGCTGGCAAAAGTCGCTTAAAAGAAAGAGGGCAAGAGTCTTACGTGACCAGATTGCTTTGGGAAAATGCACACAGGACAAAACAAACAACCAAGTTCAGCCAATGGTGTTCCACTGCATGCAGCTTATATACATGAGGATTTCCTGAAGTTGGCGTAACTCATAGGCGTAGTTAGGAGCAAAAGCTGTACTGATGAATACATAAATATCATAAACCGATTATAAGGAACAGAAGTGAAAAAGAAGAAAACCTCCCAAAAAGGTTCAGGTACCAAAGAGTTTATCAAACAAAACCACACCTGCCAATCTGAATAGAGGGCAGATATTGGCAAAGCCGAGGAATTCAAGCATTTCCTGTTTCCACGATGGCCTTATAGCAGGCATCTCCAACCGTGGCAACTTTAAGACTTGTGGACTTCAACTTTGAGAATTCCTCAGCCAGCAAAGCTTTGCTGGCTGAGAAATTCTGGGAGTTAAAGTCCACAGGTCTTAAAGTTGCCACGGTTGGTGATCCCTACCTTATAGAATCAAACTAAAAAACTTTCGCCCTACATTAAGGATTTAAAAGGAGGGCAATTCCATTTTTTCTTGTGTCTTCCATCCCAAGAAGAGTCAGCCTATCTTCTCAATCTGGTTCCTACCACTTAATGCCATCTCTTCTCCGAGAAGAGGTGGAGAATAGGAAGGAAACAGTCATTTAGGGAAACAAACAGCTAAATATGCATGGGGTTTCAATAAATAAATAGATTACAGATTGATCCAACCAGGTTCCACAAAATGGTCAATAGTGACCCCAAAACATAATAAGGGTTATGCATAATTGTTATTATCAGTAGCAGTAATAAAGCAGTATTTACTAAATTGTTTTCATACAAGTTTAGGGGTCGATGAATAATCTGAAACTGTTGACCTGAGTTGATGAGCTGAAAATCCCTTGATCTAAGCTTTTTCCTTGTAATCTTATTCATATTATACAGTTCTAGGTAAACTATGTCTGGGTGTGTACAATATTTGTGCCTGGAAAATTAGTTGATTTTCCCTTTTCCTTTTCTCCCATCGCCTTCAACTCTTGAATTAGCTCCTTAACTTTAAATGGCATTATTACATAAGTTGTACCTTGTTTTGAGGTGAGATATCAGAATTAGAGAATGGCATGAACTAGGAGAGTAATGGGAGCTTAGATGTCACCCAGATTGACAAGGTCCATCTAAGATGGACCAGAACCAGAACAATCTGAGAGTAAGTGGGCTACTAGAACAATCTATATATAGATGAGACAAAACAACCTGAGAAACAACTAGTTACTCAACAATTCAATACAGTATAGTGAAGAAGTTGCTCTCACAACTTGAGATAGATCAACCACACATTAACATCCCAGGGCCAAAACTGGATTGCGCAGCCAATTCTTGAAGCTGGAACGTCACTGCCATCCCATCCATTACAAGCACAGCAGCTGATACGAAGCATCAGATCAATGGATAAACCAGCTGCCAAGGTTCCAAGTAATGAACCCAATCAATTCAGCATCTCCTGAGACTTTTAGCGTTCTCAAAGAACTGCTTTACAGAACACATCATTTTGGCACAGCTGAAAAGCAAACTAGCTGTGGCTATTTCCTGCACTTTCAGTATAATTAAAGATTAGACAGCTCCCTTCCTTCTGGTCACAGGTCACATTGTCCAATTAGATGTTCTGGGGTCTCCTTGGTAACCTCTTCCAGTCTCTGGCCAGCACCTGGTAGGATGACCTTGGTTCCCACAAGATAGTAAGTGGTTGATGTCTGGTCTGACATTCCAAAGCTCCCTCCCCACCCCCGAAAAGTGTGTCAGGCTGAGAAAATGGCTGTGATAGGCCTGATCCGATTCAAAGTTGACACTAGCTACAATAAACCCTCAACACTGATTATCTGTTGTAATGATGAGGCAGTCAAGTTGCTTGATCATGAACAACTGAATCATGATGATCTTTATTGGAGTCTAGTCTTGCATTTATACACATTTTTAGTTATCCTCCATTATTGGTTAGCTTTGGTTACTGCTTAACTTTCGTTACTGTTTAGCACAGTAATTAATACAATTAATTATCTCTAGTTAAAGTCTAACATATGTTTACTTCCTCTCTCTAATCCTCCTTTAGATTAGTGACTTTGTTTGCCTGAGTTGTATTTGCTTGGAAACATTCTTTATCTGAGGTCTGCCATCTGAGATTGGAACATTCCTGCAATTACAACTCTACAATTGTCAAGGCTCAGGGAAGAAGTTTCATTATATAATATGTTAAAAAGATGCCCATAGAGCTCTTATGACAATTCCTGTTACTAACCAACCGATACATGCGCAGATGCTGTAGTCCTAGAAATGCTTGGCTACAAAAGCAGCAGCACATACTCGAAAGAGGAGAGGGAGCCTACCAATGTGAAGGCCCAGAAGCTCCTCAGAAAGTATGGAGAGGTTTCCACCCCAAGTCCAACTACAGAGACAATATACCAGTCAGAAAGAGGGCAGGCTGTGACAGTAACATCATGGAAGGAGTGAGAATCTGAAGAAGTGCCAGAGCCTGCAAGAGGAACTAGAGGGCATGTGGACAGTAAAGCCC